TTAGTTGTCGCACCGGCGAACTCGAACGCTCCACCCACCATAACAGTGGGCGTTATTGCTAGCAGATTATTGCGAAACACTTTAGAAAAAAGATTGCGGAATTTCTTGCCGAGTCTAGATTCTTACAAAATTGCTCCTCTAGATATTTTTGTGCATTTTTAGTATGAATGTAGCGGTGAAGACGCGGAATATAGCGTTCTTAAGTTGTATTTACTTAGTATAGCAATTCTCAGCTGATTTTGATACTCATACAATCAAAAGTTTATGCTCCTTTTTCGAAAAATCTTGACATCTCATCGACTAAATTTTGCGTCATTTTAGTAAATTTTTTCTTCCTTCACTTCATCCCTCTTCTCCTCCCTCGCTAAATTAATTTTGTCCAAATTTGTTGGAAATCCCCTAAATTTTGTGCGCTTATGTCAAAATCTTGTTTTCTCAAGTCAAAACTTGGGTCCCCTTTTTTGAGTAAATTCGCCTTTCCCTCACACGTTGCTAAATTTCGCACCTTTCGAGTCGAATATTGCATTTTCCAGCAAATTTTTTACAATTTCCAGCGAATTTTTACATTTTGCGAATGAATTTCGCACCCCCGGATTTTACATTCTCTGTACTAAATTTTTTTTTTTTTTGACTTTATTCCGTCTTGCTACCCATTCAACATATTCTGTTGCTTCTGCGGCTAGGAATAATTCTTTTCTTTTTTTGGAAAAACACAAGAAAAAGCATTACTGAAAAAGCAAAAAAAAAAATCAAACACTAACGTGCATCAACTTTGAGTGGCATGTCGACGAAATGTTTGCAATCGTGAAAAATCTTGGCTTTCTGGACTGCTTCGAGCAGTGAGCCACCGCAATAGATTTCGCGCATCCAGTCTGCTTTCAGGGTTGTGACATCCGGGGTGTTGTTCGAGGGTGCTTCCACTGGTGTTCCGGCCGGAATCATTTGGGCTTCAACAATTTCTTTTGCTGTTGTTGCTGCTATTACCTCTGCCGATGGTGTGGCCGGTAAAGGTGCAGCAACTGCTTCTGTTGCTGTTGCTGTTGCTGCTGCTGCTGTCGTACTGGTATCAATGACAGTCATTTTTACTGTATACTTGCTAGGGACAAGAAATAAACTTTTTGCACGGGACCAACGAATTTGAAGAAAAATGTTGTGTACTGGTGGTCACAGGTCACCGCGCACTTCACGTGGATGATGGACAGTTGCCGCCGCCGCTGCTGTCGATGCTTCCGGAAAAGCCTAGTACTGCTGTTGTTTCTGCTGATGCTGCTCGATGAGGTGCTGGATCGAGCTGCTGCAGCTGTTCCGGTTGCTGTGCTGGAACGAAGAGATTTGGTTCTTTGGAGGAGGTAAGACGAGGAAAAACGATCCACGCGGAGCGTAAAGTCCCTTTGCAAGCAAGGCCCAAATGATCGAGATACGTGTGTAGTAACAACACACAATTTGGCCACAAAGGCCACAAACGATCGGTCGCACTGAGGCGCGCTACTGCTGCTGCACTCCGAGTGTGTTCCTGGCAACTGACAAAGAATGTCACTTGCATGCGCCATTTTATAGTGAAATTAGAAGCCGAGCCGAGCACCGCCCCCTGCATTCAGGAGCAGCTAAAAATGCACCAATGATTTTGCATTGGGCACGCCTTCCACACAAACCACCGACCTGGATTTCATTCGGGAATGATGATGAAAAGCGCGCCCAGCCCCTCCCCCCGGTTCCCGTATATCGATTATAATCCTGAAAATCGGCATGCTCCCCTTTCTCATAAGTGCTCTTTATCTGCTCTCATTTTAGGCTTTTCCGGCAAATTGGTTACGAAAGATTTGCAGAATTGGTAGCACACATCGGGAGATTTTCGAAATTGCGGTAAAAACAATTTTTTTGGGAGCCGACTTGAGT